ACTTTCCGGATTACTACAAGATAGGAATTGAAGCTATACGCTTTTGACCTATCAATATGATAAAACTGTGCACCTTCATGATGTTGGATATAGATGCAAGTATAGAGAGTAAAGCACGTGAAACCAAATAGTAACCCATATTTCTATGCAGAAATACTAAAGGTAATATGCATAACAATGACAGTTGGATTTGAAGTAACACATTCAACACCGAGCATCCCCTCCTTTCCAACAATAAAATTGCCATGGAATGGCTACTCTAATCATTTCTAATTCACACCAAAATCTGAAACTCTCCACTATCAATAATACACAGAAATATAAAGTGTAAATTGTACAACACTCGAAAACAATATCGCACCCCATCCTACGAACAGGGTGAAATCGAGGAACTAAACCAAAAATCATAGCTCTGAATTCAAAACAAAGGGAGAGGAAAGACGTACCAGTTGAGGCCGAGCACCTCCTCAGCTTGATACCGAGTAACCATCTCGAATACGGTATTGAAAAGGTGTCAATTACTGTCGACTCCTGGAGACGGGTTTGAAGACGATATGCATAGAAATCACACTGCGTTATCATTTTATCTACAACACGGATATTAGAGCTATTGTGACTATAGCTAATGCAGGGATGCCACCCATCCTCGCCATATGGGAATAAAATTGGATATTGTAATGCCATCAGACTTGGATGATATACGCTAATTCTTTCCATTTCTGAACCCTTCTGTTGAACAATTATATCTGGAGAAAATGATTGCTCTCCTGTTTCATCTACAATCAATGCTGCAATCTCATTCGCAGAGGGCAAATCATATTCTCTACTATTAATTTCACGCTTAGCCAATAGTTTCAGTTGAAGATCCTGGACACCAGAGTTTTGTATCCTATCTCGCGCAGAACGAAATGTACGTACCATGATATTATTGTCATCAAACATATGCTGGAGGCCTTCAACAATACATTGGCGCAACGGATTCATGGCAGGATCAGTGGAGTAAAAGTCCATACGATTCTGGACCTCGTTATCTGAATCGTGAATGTAAAGCTGTGCAAATTTCGGACTATCCCCATCACCAGGAACCAAACATCCTATTCGATGATAAATCTGACCACCGATTGAATATACATAAACTCCACGACCATCATTAATAGAGTGATTGACTTTACCTCCGAGAGAAATAAAGAAAAAACCCCCATTATAGGCTCTGATGTTAGTACGAAAGTGACGCGCTAATGGTGTATCCCCTTCAAGTATAGTTTTAAGAAATTCGGACACATCTCTGCGGGGAGGCAATTTCACTTTACCATGTTTGCATAACATAAAGGAAATGCAGGCAACGCACCATTCTATGTAGATAAAGTACTCTCGAACCGCCACATAACTGCTCCACAATGTTGACACGTACATGAAGGTGAACCAATATCAAAAAATTCAACCAACGGAAGACCTAGTGAAATAGATAAGTAATATTAATAAATTTTTGTCACAGTAATTGATAAATTGAATGAGTTTGAGAAATTGTCAAGCTCATGTACTCGCACTACATTAAACACAATTATTAAAACAAATGTTTTCAAGGAAAGATAGAATGGTATACTTCTCATTTTAAGTAAGAATAACTAAAATTTAAGGAAACACTTCAAAACACACAAATTTGTCGTTGACACATCTTAAAACAATCCACTATTTGCATAAGGTCACATGAAGCGTACATCACTAAATAATATACATGACATAAATGGGTACATTATATGTTGTAAGACCAAAATAGGGAACAAAATATGTTGACCAGAACCCTAAAACATATATCCAATGTACAAAAATTGATCCAAAATATAGATGAACCATGTCATGTATAACAGTGCCCATTAGAATCCACATACTTTGATTGACTTCTGTAGGAAAGAAACTTCGGCCACGTCTCTTTCTATGCAGATGAATACGTCGAAGTAATCGACTTTGCTTTTTTAATAGAAATCTAAACTGAGGCTCCCAAACTATGAACAACACCATAACAAATAAGTTGATAAAGAAATAAATAAAGAGTGAACAATACAAAATAGCCTAATATGTAAGACTTGCTACAAAATATAGCAAACAACAACCTTGGTGTTCAAAAGGTAAGCCCCTCCTATGAACCTGCTGTTTCAAAATATGATGTCTTCTCTTACGGGCGACTTGGGATAGCATTCGCCGAAGTTGAGAGAGTTGGAATTGTAAGGCAGCTTCTTCTGCAGAATTTAAATATAAAACCATGTATTACTCATTGAATAGATGAACTAATTATAAAAATTAAAACACAGAGAACACACCTCTCTCAAATGCTTCTTCCTCTTCAGCAGATAAAACACAACGTTGGTACTGATCTTCAGGATGAATAAAAACTGCTTGACGTTTCCCTAAACAAATGAGATTCAAGGAAAAATATTAATGTCAATTTGCATTGAAACAGTTTCGTGCTAAACTATGACACTCACATGGTACAGACGATCGATAAATCTGTGGTTTGGCAGATGGGATGACATTTGCACTATCCATATTTAATTCTCCAATAACCTGACGCAATATGAAATAGGATATGGTTGTTCATAAAATCAACTTATATGAAAAGGAACACGAAAAGTGAATCGACGATGCATAGACAAAGACATGATAACCTACCAATTCAAAGATTAGAGGCCAGAATACCTTAGCAGCTATTAAATTAGCATATGACAAACTCTTCAGCAAATTGGATGACAATCTGCATGCAGGGAAAGTATCTGGAAATTGTGTAACAATAAGGAACATGATAACATGAGAATTTGGGGAAGCAAATGGTACCCTGCCTTTTCGATTCCTGGCCAGAATGCTGCTACCATTATATGCTCATGACCCGGCCAGAATCCTGGCCGCAAACATCACCACACATATCATCTGTCTTCTTCGGGCAGTAATGGCCGCCATTCTCAGCCATCATCCACCATATTTTTTTATCTCTTTCTCACCCCAAAAAACAAACACATTCGTAACCCACAAACCAAATCAAAGTAAGGCAATCAAATTTCCACTCCCAACACGACAACAAATAGAATCGAGCAGCTCAATGACTCCTCCTTCCCTCTCCTCGACTCCGTTGCTTTCACCCTCCACTATCAAATTTTTCCGTCCTCTCTCCAAACACAGTAGGCAGATTTCTAGATTAGGCTTGCCTATCCCCCCAAATCCCCCTCCGCTTCTCCCCACCTCCCTCCACAGCTAGCCGCCCGACGAAACGGTCGAGAGAGAAAAACTCAGATTGGAAAAGAAAAAGGGAAAAATCAAAAAACCCCTTTTGATCCCTAGAGAATCCAAATCAACAGAATGAAGAGAAAAATGTAAGAGAGAAGAAAGAAAGCGGAAGGAACCAAAGCCAGCTCTGTAAATTGGTGGCAGATGTCTCAATCTCCTCCCTTTCACCCTCTCTCTCTTTAATCAGTAGAAAAGGTGGGCTTATTTCAGCCAAATAAAAAATAAATGCAAATTAAATGACAACATGGGCTGGCAGGAAAAAAGGTGGGTAGTGGACTCCTATTTTTTTTTCCTGCGTAACCACCCTGCCACGTCAGACTCCTAAAATCACTCTATGCGCAGGAAAATTTGAATGGGGTTGCAGTTTTACTTTTCAGCTATAAATTATACTGTTGATCTCTATCTTGTTCTGGGCGGAGTAAATGCCCTACTTATGGTGTTAGTGTTGATGGTCGGGCGTTTTATGTGATGTGAGAGAGCTATCCGAACATATTGTAGGTCATGTCTTTTACACGTTATTATCAAATCTAGCATTATCATGAAATTTACATATGTACCTGAAATATGGGGAAGACAAGCTTATGTCAATCAACCCTTTTTCTCCTACGTACTTGCTCTTATTATGCATGCATGTCATTCATAACACCTCGGCCATGGATCTTATTATATACAATATCAACGATGATCATCTGTACTCTGTAGCAGAATTTACATCGACCAATTAATTAAGTTCCCTTGTAATCGAAGAGTTAATAACCAAATGTAGCATTGTAGTTAGCAAAGCGACATTGACTTGATGTAGTTTAGTCGCCGGCCGGGTCAAGCTAGCTAGCCTAAGTTTTTCACAGGCGGAGAAGAAGACGGAATGTTAATTAATTAATTAGTCCTAGTTGAGTAAGACCCATTTATATTCGACGACCATTCTTTGATAAAACAAGTGTAAAAGACCGTTCCCTACCTAGGAATCTTCTTCTTTCTCTTGCCATATTGAAAATTCGTAGTATATGAGTATTTCTCTTTGTAATTTATTCTTGTACTTTATCTTTTGAATAGTTGTTCGTGTATCCGCAATTGATAACATATTAATTGAGATGATAAAGAGAAAACTATTATTATATGAACAGAATTATGATTTGATATATCTAATTTGTTGTTATTACTTTAAGTAAGATTATCGGCTGTCGACTGGAATTAAGTATAGTAAAACTGATATCTCCTGTTCGTGGACGTAACTAGCACACATCGTATTAGTGAACCACGTACGTAAATTTGTGTATTTTTTTTTACTTTCTTACATTATCGATTTCTCGCTTTCTCTTACAATACAGATCTTGATACATTTGCGGATTAGAAATTTAAATAAAATTCAAAGTAGTTATAATAGCCAAAGGTATAGCAAGTCTGAATCCTTCACCCCTAAACTTTTCTTATAGTTGATCTCGTCATTTTGCACCACCCACCATTATAAGTCCACGAAGTCTTCTTCCGCCCGTGAAGGACGCCAAACCTGAGCAGTCCTTGCTAGTTTTAAATAAGCCAAGTCGTCTTTCGACAAATGTGGAAGAAGTGAAGAAGGTTATCAAATTCTTGCCGTTCCCCGATGGATATGGAGGACTATAAATTAACCATTCGCCACAAAAGTTCAGCACCAACCGAAAAAGAAAAAAAAGAAAAAAGACACAACCCTTTGAAACGTAAACCCTAACGCAGCCATAGCGTCCAATATGGAACCCAAAACACCCTCACTCGCACTAACCCTAATAACTTGCCTCCTCCTTCTCCCTCTATTTTCCCACGCTCACGTCCTAACCAACTCTACATCATCACCTTCATCTCGAGTCGCCTTCCTCCAACACCTCAAAGGCTGCCACAAAGGAGACAAGCTCAACGACATCCCTAAGCTCAAAGCCTACCTCCACAAGTTCGGATACCTCGACGACTACACCAACCAAACCTCCCCTTCTTCCAACAACTACTTCGACCACCGCCTCGAGAAGGCCCTCAAGACTTACCAGGCCAACTACCACCTCAACGTCACCGGCGCCATGGACTCCGCCACCGTCGCCTCCATGATGACACCACGCTGCGGCGTGGCTGACATCATCAACGGCACCAACTACATGCAACCCCAACGACGTGGTGGCCGCAGCCACCACAGGCTGCACACGGTGTCTCACTTCTCTTTCTTTGAAGGGAGACCCAGGTGGAGAGCTTAGAAGACGAGGCTCTCCTACCAGATCCTCCCGGGGATGCCAGAAGAAGCGGTGGCGCCGGTGGCGCGTGCTTTCCAGACGTGGGCTGAGAACACGCAGTTCGAGTTTCAGAGGGTTGGTGGGAACCCCGGGGACACGGTGGACATCACGGTGGGGTTCTACAGTGGGGACCACGGGGACAGATTTCCTTTCGTCGGCAGGACGGTGGCCCACGCGTTTGCACCGGAGGACGGGAGGTTTCACTACGATGCGGACGATAGGTGGGGGGTCAGGGAGCCCGGGGCGATGGACTGGGAGACGGTGGCGCTGCATGAGATCGGCCATCTCTTGGGGCTCGGCCATAGCAACGTCGAGGAGGCGATTATGTTCGCCAGTATTCCTGTTGGAGCTGCCAAGGGTTTGAATGCGGATGATGTTCAAGGGATTAGGGCTTTGTATAACGTTTGATCCATGCACGTACGCTTACTTTGGTGGGTAAGCTACGTACGTGCGTACTATAATCTAAGTATACCGTATATACCGTATACGCAGCCTGGGATATGTATGCTTCAATAAATAAATGGGTACGTATATACGTACACAAATGGAGAGAAAAGGCTGATGTTACTTATCACCCTTTATAGGCATTTTCCATAGCTTGTTGGCGGTTTTCGCGGGATTTCCTTTTTGTCATTTAATTTGTCGGCACGGAAATTATATTAAACTATTATGAATCAATTAAGCATGTTGGATGCCTTTGTATTCAATATTCATACTTTGTGTGCACTTGATATGGCATAACCTACCTATTCATCAGTATACATGCTCCGCTCCGGCAACTTTCCAACAAGACAAAGAAGAGAATGGCCGGCGGCCGGCCACCTCATCAAATCAAATCCCCAAAATCATCCTCCTCCGTAGCCCTTCCCGTCCAATCAATTCCCACGCCCACAAATTTTATATTAAAATTCCCGCCAGCCTCTCTTCCTCCCCTTCACTTGTTCCATCCCAATAATCTTCTTATCTTCATCCATGGCGTCAACTTCCTTCTTTCTTCTCCTTCTTCCCCTTCTCCTCCTCCTTCAAACCCTCCCCTCCTCATCAAACGCCCACTCCACCGCTACCTCCTTCCTCGACCACTTCACCGAAGCCCCCAAAATCGGCGACCGCCACCCAGCCATCGCCGGCGTCAAAACCTACCTCCGTCGCTACGGCTACCTCTCCGTCGACGACATCGACGACGACCACTACTTCGACGTCCTCCTCGAGTCCGCCCTCAAGACCTACCAATCCAACTTCAAGCTGGACCCCACCGGCCGGCTCGACCCGCCGACGGCGGCCATGATGAGAACCCCACGCTGCGGCGTCCCCGACGTGCTCAACGGCACCAACTGGATGGCGGCGCCGGCGAAAGTTACTCACCACCACCACAGCCGCTTCCGAACCACCGCGCGGTACAATTTCTTCCCCGGGAACCCGACGTGGCCGGAGGGGAAGCGGAACCTGACGTACGGGTTCCTCCCGGGGACGCCGGAGATGGCGAGGAAGCCGGTGGCGCGTGCGTTCAAGAAGTGGGGCGCGCACTCACGCGGGCGGTTCGCGTTTGTGGCGACGGAGGATGATCACGCGGAATCGGCGGATATCAAGATCGGGTTCTTCAGCGGGTACCACGGGGACACGGGCTCGTTTGATGGGCCGGGCGGGTCGCTGGCCCACTCAAGCCCACCGAAGTCTGGGCTCCTGCACTTCGATTCGGAGGAGACTTGGGCCGTGGGCTCGGTCCAAAAGGCTTTCGACGTCGAGACGGTGGCTTTGCACGAGATTGGACACATTCTCGGGCTGATGCACAGCTCGGTGCCGTCGGCGATTATGTACCCGGCTGTCGGCGACGGTGTGACGAAGCAGCTGAGCCGGGATGATGTTCATGGCTTCAGGGCTTTGTATAAGGTCTGAAATTGGATTGGAAAATAGTCTAAAATGTGTATGTTTACTTTTTGACAATGAAAGTGATCCATTTGTTCTGAAAATCAAGTAAGTATAATGTATACATTTTTCTTAACATATTAAAAAAAAATTAGTGTAGCACAATATCTTAATTAGCAAATCATGAGTGGCAGTACCTCTCGTAATATCATACAAAAGCTAAACAGATGAAGAAAATATGATTAAAAATAACTGCAGTACTCATATATGAAATTTGACTTTGCAAAGTAAAGAAAATATTCATTCTGCAATTGATCAAATGATCAAGAACGTATGTGAGAGAGAGACGGACTTGCTAAGAGATAGGAGGCAAGTAACTCGCCTTGATATAAACAAAACTCAAGTAGGAAAACTAGAAATTGTACCTCACATATACACAAAAATCTAGTTGGAAAGTTGAAAAATTGTATCAGGTGAATCGTGATGGAAGAGTCAATATGTGTTGAAGTACCTTTGTAGACCTCATATCCCAAGCCAGTCAATAACCACACGAGAATCTACCAACTTGTTTTTCATAATTGTGTCTAACTCTTATGTCCTCTCTAAAAGTTTTGATAAACAAGTAATCGCTTCTATACTATAATGTTTGTATTTGAATGTTTTTACCATCACAAGATCTTCACCCAAAATGCAATAATTGTTGTATACTTTAACGACGATGTAACACCGAAAGGTGTTACAGAGTGTTTCCACCGTTTACCATCTCATTTTTTAAATTTCATGGATCACCTCCTTGCTCAATCATATGATAAATAGTGGTGATTGAGCAAACCTTTGGCACCAATAGGCAATAATAGATTAGCCGTTCAGATAAAGATCATATGCATGGAATTGGAAAATGTAAAATATATATATATATATGGTGGCGTCTTCGGTGCACTCATGATCTAAATAGCAAAACTCAAACGGGCGTACGGTAGTCTAACATACGTCCAGGCGTACGCTAGCCTGAACCATATATATATATATATATGGTGACTACTTCGGTGCACTCACAAAAATGAGTGCGTTTAATGCACCCAACTCAAAAACTAGTCTTAAGGTGTCGGATTTTGAATTTTAATTTGTAGAATTAGTGTAATATGATGATATAACATATGATAACAACTAATTAGTGGATTACCCTAAGTCCTAAACCTCCAATTTGAGTCATATCCCTAAACCCCAAATTGTAAACCCTAACCCTAACCCTAGATCTCTAAACTCTAAATCTTTCAAATTAAAGTAAATCTTCAATGAATTTTGTGCAAATTCATGTGCGTTGTTGTTCATCACATCATAAGTGATGATTGACATCATTTTGACATAAATCGCATGTTTAAAATGACGGTTTTGAAGTGAGTGCACTGAATGCACCCAAAAAAGTGAGTGCACCGAAGACGCCACCATATATATATATATGGTTCAGGCTAGCGTACGCCTGGACGTATGTTAGACTACCGTACGCCCGTTTGAGTTTTGCTATTTAGATCATGAGTTAACTGGAGTTTTGGGCATGATACTATACCCTAACTACTAATGGATAAACCCCAGTCAATAGTTTTCTAACCCAAATCATGAGATTCGTTTAATCTTAAAATGAAAATCAACAATAATTTCGACGAATCAGAACCATTGATTTTCATTTCAAGATTTAATGAATATTATACTTTGGGTTAGTGAATTGCGGACTGAGGTTCATCTATTAGGGGTTAGGGTATAGTATCATGCCCCAAACTCCGGTTAATTCATTATCTAAATAGCAAAACTTAACGAGCGTACGGTAGGCTAGCGTACGCCCGGACGTACGCTAGCCTTTGCCATTGTTCAGGCTAGCGTACGCCTGGACGTATGTTAGACTACCGTACGCCCGTTTGAGTTTTGCTATTTAGATCATGAGTTAACTGGAGTTTTGGGCATGATACTATACCCTAACTACTAATGGATAAACCCCAGTCAATAGTTTTCTAACCCAAATCATGAGATCCGTTTAATCTTAAAATGAAAATCAACAATAATTTCGACGAATCAGAACCATTGATTTTCATTTCAAGATTTAATGAATATTATGCTTTGGGTTAGTGAATTGCGGACTGAGGTTCATCTATTATGGGTCAGACTGGCGTACGTCAGGCGTATACTATACGTCAGGTACTACTAGTGAGATATCTCTATCTAGACCATGAATTAAATCAAGTTTGGGGTATGATACTATACCCTAACCTCTAATGGATAAACCCCAGACACCGATTTTCTAAACCCCACCTCGAAGTTTGATTTAATGAAAAACAAAAATTGACCGTTGAGATCGGCCGGAGCTCATCTAAGCAGAGTAGTCAAAATCCCGATTTAAATCCTAAAATCCTACGGTTTTACGATTTTACTTACCTATTCCGATTCTGATTTCACTATAAAATCTATGGACCTTAAAATCCTACACTATTCACGATTTAAATCCTTAAAATCTTTAAAATCTTACGATTTTACGATTCAAATCTTGAGTCAATTTTACATATTTCCCCTAGAATTTGCAAAATTACGCCTCTTTTTCTTCTCCTTCACCAGCATCATCTAGTTCTCTCACACTAATCACCATTGATTATAATCAATTCACATCAACGTATTAATCATCATCGGTTCACCACCTCTTAACATTAACCTTGATAAATTGGAACATTAACCTTGAAAAATTATCATTGTAAGTGTTATGTGCTTTTGTGTTATTCATGATTTTCCTTACTAATATTATTTCGTCTTCATTTTTATATGTACCTTAAAATCCTACGATTTTACGATTCGATTTTACGATTCCGATTTTACCCCCATTTTCGATTTTACGTAAAATCCCGATTTTGACTGCTTTGCATCTAAGTACATCTAACGGCTAGATCACCTGACGTATAGTATACGCCTGACGTACACTAGTCATCACCATATATATATATTGGAAGAGACAAGCCTCTCCTTTTACTCCCAGCATATGTGATGATGTTTTCTTTCTAATATAGTAATGAACCACCTTTCTTTTATGTCCTCTCCCATATTTCTCCCTAATAGGCTAATACAGGAATCTGCGTATGAAACCTTTCCGTTATACACCATAATCAAGTTAAACAACTCACCATTGTCAGCAGCACCAAAGCTGCCCAATTGGGCAGTAGATGATGGTGGCATTCTGGATGACTTGTGGGACCAGCACAGGGACCAGATCCAGATTAAGAAATTCATTCAATCCCAGTTAGGCAGTTAGCAATTTGTCTGTCACTGAATCTAAAATTGAACCAACTTTCATTGATCATTCAGGCATTCAGCATGTGAGTATGGTCCATGAAATTGTACCGTACCGACGGTTCAACCACGAAATACCAGTATCGGAGGCTAAACTGGAAGGCGATATTAACGGTACTAACGGTTGAACTACGGTTAAACTACGATTTTACCATAAAATACCCTACCACTGACTTTTCGGGTACGGTCTCCGGTACGATTTCATGGACCGTGACTACATGAAGAAGAAAAGTTACACAATCTACCGAGTAACAATAGGCCAAAAGGCAGTGATGATATCAGGAAGGGGGGAAGAACAAGGGAGAGAAATTTGACCAGAAGTAAGTTACAAGCAAACATTTGGCTTGTTCCAGGTTAAAAACATTCCCCCTCTCATTCTCAATCATCTCCACTTTTCCCCCAAAATGATGAGTACTTCAATATACCATGACATTTTGATTTGATAAGAGGATTTAGAGGAGTGATTGATCTTGTGCAGTGACACTCCACCTGCAAGTCACTTTCCTACTCTCTGGTTTATCATTCATCACACCCAAATGATTGAAAAAAAAAGCGACTTCCTTAACTAATAATGGATTCTCTCTAGCACAAAAGATGGCAATAATCATCCCCCACCCCCATTATCTTTACAACCCATGTAATGAACAAACAAAAAGGAAGCCATCCACAGAGCATTTCTAAGAATTTCCAAACTCTGAAACCATCGTAACCCATGGCCATAATCCTTGATCACAAAAGGGATCAGAAAAGCTGGACACCACTAATGATTGTGAGTGATGAAAAAGTGAAGTAATGAGTATCAGGTTAATACACCCCAAAAGGGTGTTCATTCATATCATCTCTCTATTGATTAACCACAAAACTTATATCCATCTACAGAACAAGAAGAAGAAGTAGAAAAATGAATTCCTTTTGCTTTGAGGTTGCTTTGAGGTATAAAGGAAAAGGGGAACCAAGAGAGGTATATATCATTCACCTTTAGTCATAAGAACCATGACCATTAGCACCTATTCTCAACTCCTTGTTCCCATTCTCCTTGTTAGAATATGACTTGAATTTGATTTGAGTTTATTTTGTGTTTTATGCCTATTCTGTTTGGGTTTGGGATTGAGTTTTGTTTTGACCTTTTCCTTGTAGGGTTGGAAAAGGTATTTGGTTTTTTGTTTGGGATTAGGAGAAGAGTTCTATAAATACTCTTCATCACCCTAGTATGTAGTAAGGTCAATCAGGTTAGTTTGTTTGGTTTGTCCGTTTGGAATTTGGTTTGTAACCTGTACTCTCCTCGAAATTAGTGAAATTTGTTCTCCTCTGCCCGTGGATTAGCTAGCACGCATTGTGTTAGTGAACCACGTTAAATTTGTGTTCGTTCGTGTTGATCTGGATTATCGATTGCACGCTTCTGTTCTGACAAGTGGTATCAGAGCCTCTGGTTGCGGTTTTGGGAATTTGGCGCTGGACTAAAGTTTTGCTTTGTGGAGTTTGGTTGGAGTTTGTTTGATAGTAAGAATGGCTGCTATCAGTATGAAGATTGAGAAGTCAATTTGGAGTTGCAGGTTTGGAGTTAGTTGTATATCTGATGTTGGTGTTATCGATGGAAATAACACCAAGTTGGTTATGCATGGCAAGTCCCAACATGGGTTGGACTTGCTGCATGTTTTGATTTGTTGATCGCCCTTAGGGGCATTTGGAGGCAGGGGAGATTC